CTCTCTCTCTCTCTCTCTCTCTCTCTCTCTCTCTCTCTCTCTCTCTCTCTCTCCCCACACACACACATGAAGTTCCTGATGAGAGTGGGGAGTGCATCTTTTATAAGGGAGGATGAACCTGGTTTTCAGCATTTCATGAAAGGAAATGACCTTATTTATTCCTGGTTGTGGTGGGTGGTTGATTGGTATGTGTGCGTGACGCCCTCACTTTTTCAGGTTCTTGTCTCCCCTGAGAGGAGATCTCTCGGTGAGGAGATGCGCAAGAGCTTCCAAAGGACAATTGATATGGTGCTGCAGGTAACCTTTTTTTTTCTCCCAACTCTTTTGTTCAAGCAACTTAGCCTATGGAAGTAAGCCAGGTTTTTGTCAAGTCCACTGTTTCGTCGATGAAGCCGACAAAATATTCCATTGCTGTGTTATCTTTTCATTTCCGTTCAATTTTAACAAATTTTGTCTGGCTCTTAGCAGCAATGAGGGTCGGGTAAAAGAACCACGGAAGCGTGGTTGGTGGTTCAAAAGGGAAAAGGGAAGGGAGGGGAATGGGTCCGTAACACTCGTAGCGTTCGCTAGAGAGAGATGTTGCTGTCGTTATTACGTCTTCATAATCTGTTCGTCTGTGATGGTTTTTGAAATTTTGAACGATGGAAAAAGAAAGGAAAGAAAACAGGGGAAAAGAATTTGTGGCGATTCAGCTGTGGCTCCTTTTTCTCTGTTCGTTTTCCCTTCTGTCTCCCTTGTCCCATGTGCATACGGTGACCCTCGCTTCAATCCACAGGCTTGCACGTCGTAATGAACATTTTTGTGGTGGGAGGTCTGAATCTCTGATGACCGTCGAAAGCCCGGTCGGTGGTTGTCAATTTCGATGGTCATCAGAGATTCAGAATCCACCTCCCACCACAAAAAGAGTTCATTACGACGTGCAAGCCTGTGGATTGAAGCGAGGGGCACCGTATGCACGTGGGACAAGAGAGACAGAACGGAAAACGAACCAATCTCCGTTCCCAGAAATCGTGTGAAAAAAATATACTAAGAATTGAGAGGATTCACTCTCCAATTTATTTTTATAAAGAAAGGAATTCAGTTCAATTCACTGTCATAATTTTCCACAATCAGACTAATTGACACAATGAGAAAAAGGGAAGAAAGAATCGGCTTAAACCACCAGTACCTACCGGTTGGGGCGGCCGTTAACGTGGAAGCTGAACCGGCCTGCCCCTCCGGTCCAAATTCATCCCAGGCTGGGGGGTACGAAAAATGCGGTAGGTACTGGTGGTTTAACTGGACTAAATTGCCATATTTTTTGACAACCAGACAATCGGACACTGGTCACATGCTCACAACTCTTATCCGTCTTCGGTCCTCTTCGATCCTCCTCTGGGCTCATTCTGTCTTCAAGTGAGCCCCAAAATGTCATCATAATATTGACTACAGCTGCTAGTACAACACCCTTCCCTTGCATAGGACTTCGACAAACACAATGCCACTGTCGAAGTCGGCGCTGGGGGCTTCCACAGCCAGCGCAAGCAAAACCAACACCGGATCTGTCAGTGCAGGACTCATGCACCTGACTTCGTCTGGATGCATTTGATGACTCTGGAGGGTAAAATTTGACCCCAATGGCAGCATTCAGGGAGTAGCAGCGCATCGAGTTCCGCGGGATGCATCTGGACAACTTTGCAGGGCAAATTTTCACCACACTGCCAGAATTCAGAAGTGATGCATCCGGACGCCCCCAATGGCAGCATTCAGGGAATGGCAGAGCGAGTTCCGCTGGATGCATCTGGACGACTTTGCAGGGCAAATTTTGACCACACTGCCAGAATTCAGAACTAATGCATATGGAGTCTGGACGCCTTTGCAGGGCAAATTTTGACCAGACTGGCAGAAATCAGAAGTAATGCATCTGGACACGCCTTCGCAGCCAGAATTCAGAAGTGATGCATCCGGACGCGCCCAATGGCAGCATTCAGGGAGTGGCAGAGCGAGTTCCGCTTGATGCATCTGGACGACTTTGCGGGGCAAATTTTGACCACACTGCCAGAATTTCAGAACTCATGCATATGGCAAATTCTGACCGGACTGGCAGAATTCAGAAGCATTGCATCTGGACGCGCCTTTTGACCACACTGACAGAAATCGCAAGAAATGCATCTGACGACTCTGCAGGGCGAATTTTGACCCCACAGCCAGCATTCGCGTTTTCCTTTTTTTTTTTGGTTTGCTAGTTTGTTCGTTTCTTCTTTTCTTAATCTAATGCGGCTTGTCGATTTGAGAGTGCACGCAGGTTGATGATTAGAGTTTCTCGAATCTGGTTCATTACAGAAGATTACAATAATAATATAATATCAGTTTTTTAGAACTTTTAGTAGTCTTGACTCTTCAGTGTATTATTAATTTACGGATTTATAACAGTATACAAAGTTTTGTGAAAGTAAAGGTGGGACATTGTTTGCCAAAGATATTTTTGTGTTATCAAGTACAATAATATTATGATGAATCGTTGATGATCGTAATGGTTGGACAAATTGTTTCAAATTTCAATTTGTCTGCCAAAGAAAGTACTAAAAATAGTAAAAAATACTAGGCTACCAGCCGGGCCGCCCAGGTCCCGGGTGGCCAGCCCGTGCAAGGACCAGGGAAGGTCCCGGAAAAAAAAAAAAAAAAAAAAAAAAAAAAAAAAAATCCAAAAAATCCACAAAAAACCTATGTTATGCAGAAAAATAAACTGAACAACTTTTGCCTCAGGGTCACATCGAAATTCTTCATCAAATTCAAAATAACAAATTAAATTAAAATATATATATATCTTATCGTACAGAAAGCCCTCACCGTGGTGCTGGACAGCGACGCAGGCTTTTAGAGTCTGGACAAAGAAGAAAGAAAAATCAGAATGCGTGAATTCGTTCTATTTGGCATTTTACTATTCAGTGTGCTAAGTTCATGGTAGTGGCTCATTCCCTTTGAGGAAACGTTGGGTTTGAAGTCTTTTGATGTATTTAGCGGTATCCGTATATATATTTTTTTAAATGTTTCTGGCCCGGCCGGGCAAGTGACCCCGGGCCACTCTGGTAGCCTAGAAAAAATACTAAAATCCCCTTCAATCGATTGTTTGGTTGATTAATAGATCCGTGAGATCACACTGTTTTTTCATGTTTGGGAGACTTGCTCTGCATTTATATTTCCAAGAGCCTTTTTTTTTCTCTTTTCTTAATCTAACCTCTGTCATTGTTTTCGGAACTTTTCAGGTGAGCGGGCATCAGATTCTTGCAGAAAACAACAGAACCCTCCTGCGAAAGTTGATCTGCCGTACGCCATATCTCAATCCAATCAACATGCTTCAGGTAGGAGGCAAGAGAGTGATTCGGTACTAATTGCTACTAATTAATTCTCACCCTTTTTCCTTTGAGCATCGAAGTACATGGCTGTATCTGGCTGCAATCACGACGGTACCATGACTCACATTAAAAAAAACACTAGTGTGGCTATGTGTGTGCGCCATGCAGCGATGGCAAAAAAATGTCAGGCAAGTTTTATTAACTTTTTTTTTAACAACATTCTTTTTGTGTGGCAGAGGGTGACACGGTCAGCTGCTTTCCATGAAATAGCAGGATAAAGGAAAATACAATCAACGGATCTGTAGATTCTGTACTGTAATACGCGAGTTGTTGAATAACGCCAAAAAAGTTAAAAAAACTAAAAACTTAAAAATAAAAAATGTACTTGTCACCTGGGTCCAACAAATCCAATTGGCTTGGAACTACTAGATCAATATCTCACCTGGGTCGGAGACAAGCCACTCCATGCAATTTTGCGATGAGTGTTAAACCGCAAGTACATGGCTGTCTCCACAACCAAAACTCGGGCCGTGCGGCGTGGGGCGCCATTAAAAAAAAAAAAAATTGGCGGCCTCCGAAGTCGTGCGGATTTCATGCTGACATCTGCAGGCCTATGTATGCACGAATAGAGTCGAGACGGTTGTAACAAGTGCTATCCAAATTCTGCACGATGGTCACCCATCACATGGCTCTCTCAAGTTGCCTTGTTGTTACATAAATAAAATAAATAAGCCAGAGTGGTGGCTCTTCTCGCCCCTTCAAAGAAGAGAGAGAGAAGAGAGAGAGAGATCAGTACAATTTCTCGCCTTCTCCTCCTTCCCCCTTCTCTCTCTCTCTCTCTCTCTCTCTCTCTCTCTCTCTCTCTCTCTCTCTCTCTCTCTCTCTCACACACACACACACACACACACACACA